AAGTGCAGAAGAAAAGTCCTGATTTTTAGCCCTGTGCATACCCTCTGTGGATTTCTAACCTCTAACTATATAATAATATTTTTTTCAGAAGTTGCTAAGCATATAGGAATAGATATTCATTTTAAAATTAGTTTGCTATTTATCTTAGGGTTTTTAATTATCGTTTAATAAATTATACCAGAAAACAGCCTAAGATTAGGTACTGTTAACTTTAGTTCACAGGCTCAAATGCCATCTGGGATCTGAACTTCACCAATGTCATACTCTGGGTAGTCGCACACTGAGTAAAATGCAGGCCAGGACATGTGATTAAGAAATATGTGACCTAGAAATGCGGCTAATACACTCAAGTCCCCTTACATGAATTTGCTCTATCTTAAGTTTTCCAGGGCAATGAGAAGTGTGTAACAAAATAAGAATTGTGGCTGGATAGTTCATTTTGGTTTAAAAAATTATAGCAATCTTTTTCATGTTTAAATAACATCTACTAAATCCTGTAAGCAATTATATTTCCTACTATTTTCCACTAAATCCTAAAAGGTAGGCATTATGTTTGCTATCCTTGATAAATTCTTTATAAAAGAGGCCAAAATAAATGCTAGAAAATGAGATGTACCTTCACCCCCGCAAAAAAAAAAAAAAAAAAAAAAAAAAAAAATTAAGGAAAAACATCACAGCTTCAACAGACATAGCAGATTCTCCATCAATAGAGATTTTGTCTAATTTTTTGTCAAAGAATATAATGTCTATGAAATACTATTACATATGGAAAATAAAATACTAAACCAAATTGCTTGCTTTTATTTTTATTTTGTTTCTAAATACTTGCTTTTAAATACCATGTGTTAACTTTGGTCATCATACATGTTCTTCTATTCCCTTTTTCTTTCTTTCTTTACTTTTCTTTTTTTTAAACACTGTTTGAGTAGTTATTTATTCCGATAAATACTGAAAATGGCAGAGTATGTGGTTTATATTCCAGAAAGCAGAAAGATAATTTTACATCATTTAGAGCACATTTTACACATGACAAAGTAGAAGCGTTGCTAAGAACACAAAGATGAAGATTCTGCTGCTAAAGTGCTCACAGTAATAGTGAAACAAGCAGGGCCTAAGTCTCAACCGCTAGGAACCAAGACCAAAATAGCTTTTAACATATGTTAACTGCTCCTGCTTGGAGGAGAGCACCCTGAGGAAAACAGTGTAAGACTCAGGAAAGCCAGGTCTAAAAGAAAGTTTTTGATCAAGCTAGTATTATGATACCAGAAGAACAGGCTAAAAGGAAAGACTGGAAGCAGGAGAGCCTACTGGAATTAGGCTGTCAGAAGGAGAGAACCTGAACTATGAATTTGAGAATGAAAAACAGAAGATGCAGAAAAATCTCGAATCTCAGCACATAATTTTATACCACCTGTGGCTTCTATCAAAAGTATCTACTAATTCAAGGTAAACCAGGCAGAGAGAAGCACACAACCCATGTTTAAATACCAGATCCATTTGTTCAAGGAAATAGGTTTGTGCTACTTAAGATCCTCAGCCAATTGGAAGGAAAAAGCTAAAGCAATGAAATAAGTCCTGCAATGCCATAATTTCTCAACTAGGGAAGTCACAGGGCAAGTTCAAAGAGAGTGAAAAGATTAATGACGTAGCATCCCAAATAGCTGGTTTGTGGTAGCAATGGAAAAATATGCAGGAAACAAAAGAGCTGCAACTTCTCATTTATTTTTGCCCAATCCTGGGATATTAAACTAAGCTCGAGAAGAAGATGAAGGTATAGATTTTTGTTTGCTGGTCTGGTTGTGGAGATATATAGAGTCAAGAAAAGGACTAGTATAATGAAGTACAAACATTTGAAGTGATATTGTGATTTAGGAATAAGCTAATTCATGAAAACTGTAATTTTATAAAATCAGTAGTACACCATAGTCTTACTGAAAAGCATTTGAAGATTAATGATACTGACCTTAAAAAGATGATAAGTTACATCCTCAAAGATACAACAATAAAAATATTTTCCTTTGTTAACAAGTACCCATATATAATGGAAAGAAACTTTTCTTTTTATTTCTTTCATTAATTTTTCTCTATTTAGGATTATATTATAACACTGTGAAACCTGAAAATTAGACCTGAAAGCCTTAAATCACCCAAACCATGACCTAATTTCCTTTAGGTCAATGATTAGACGAGGWCCTCTCTTTTTCAAGCCCTAATTTACTGCGCTTAATTAGGATAGTGAAATGCCTCTGATATAAATTATATATATTAGACATCCCAGCACCAAATATTTACTAAATAATGTGCAAATCTTATTTTTTAATCTTTCAGTCCCAATATCTAAAGACCATATATTCTCTAGCAAAAAATACAACATAATGAACTATTAATATACCATGTTAAAGGTACTCTAAAGATATTGTACTTTAAATAAAATTTGAAAAAATCTTTAATGAGGAAAAACAAAATAATTGATGAGGAAGAACTACTGATGTACATGTAAGTGACATTGTTATAGATTACCTAGAATCCATTTTACATTTCTAGTTGATTCAATTGCTATGTTTTAAATGGAATGGTTCCATTGAGTTGCTTACACATAGCCTTTAAACATCCAAAAATGAACCAAAGGTCGCAATTCACTCCTAAAGTCAAATTAGGGGGGAAAAATGTTTTCAAGCCTTCCAAGAATTAAGATTTATGAAATAAGTAAGCCAGCATTTTGTTTATAGGGTGTTGGAAGTCTGGGCAAAGGGTAGAGTGGAGTGGGGTAAGACAGATGACAGTGTTAGACCAACAAGAAAGGGAAGTAACTGGATTCCTATAGAAAGAAGAGATGTAGGGAAATGCAAAAGCCCAAGCTAGATTAGACAACTGAAGGAAATCAGTTACCTAATTTAAAAAAAAAAAATCTTTTTGGAATCTTTCTAATGTCACTGGTAAGAAGAAATAAAAATTCCATAATTTCTTCTGAAAATCAGGACTTTCCTTCAGTTTCCTCATAAATCACCATAGATGACTGTAGCAATTCAGCTTTAGGGTCTACACTGTATTAAACTATATATGTTAATCTAGAACAGTAGTTCTCACTGAAGGTTACATTTTTCCCCAGGAGACATATGACAACATTTTTAAGGGTCACAGTTTGGTATGGGGGGCAGCTGTTGGCATCTAATGGATGGTGGCTAAAGATGCTGTTAAACATCCTTACAGTGCACAAGATAACCTGACCACAAAGAATTATCAAGTTCAAAATGCCAACAGTACTAGGTTAAGAAACACTGATCTCTCCTGAATACAGTTCAAGCAACAACCTACTTCTTGGACCTTTATCCTAGCCCATGTCTAACAGTCAATTAAAGGACTAAACCACCACCACCCAAAGACCCATTTTTCAATTGGTTTAAACATGGTGGATGGTTGGTTCCAACTAAAAGTCACACAGAAATAAATAGAGATAATGTATCAGAGCAGAAAAGCAGAAAAAGAACTTTTAAATCCTTTCATTTCATTTCTGTCTAGAACGATTCACTTTGCAAGAGGAGCATTTACATGGTTCCATTATCAAGCTGTGTGTCTTCTATAGCCAATACTCTGAAAATTCACTGGCGTCGTCAAAATACAATATATCTTATTAATTAAAAACTTAGGTTAACAGTATTTACAAAGAAAGATTTATGCTGGAGGCTGCGGAGGGTGAAAAAGCCACCAGGTCTTTAAAATGCAAAGTTATTTCACAGTTTGCTTGCAAAATGACTCAGATCATTATTACTTTTAGTCATGCCAAGTTTGCTTCTAAGCCTACTAGTAATGGAGAAAGAAAAAAAAAAAAAGCCCACCATTTTTCCCTGCAGTCATTAAACCAATAAAACTGGAGCTTACTGAAAACGGATTTAGGCAATAATATTTCTCTTTTATTATAACTTATATAAAAAATACAAGCTGAAAGTGCAAATGAAGATTTTAAGAAATCTTTCATCTATCTAATACTTAGAGTGTGGGAAGAAACCAAACAAAAGGAACCCCTAACTCAGAGATTTAAAGATCTTAAACTGTGAATATTATCACAATGTTTCCCTCAGTCAAGTGTCCCYGGGTTACTCTTATTATTCTCTTCCCCTTCAAACAATTGGAAAAAGATCTCCAGGTCGCACTTCATCAAGAGAACAGGGCTAAGAACAAATCAAAGCCTGGCGTGCACCTGGCAAACCTCATTCATCAGAAACGATAGCAGTAGAGAAAATCCTGTTGTTCCGGTGACCCCTCTGCACCTTTCACAGCGGTTCCACCACTGAAGTATCTTCCTTACCTACTACTGGAGCAAACGCAACCCAACTTTGGTGGTTTCCCTACCCCCACAGTGATAAAAATCAAATATCCAGCATAGCTTATTTCCTTACGCAGGGTAAACATAATCGGTGCTTTTTAACACTCACTGAGTCGCCATGGGAAGTTGACAGTAAAGACACATTTCAACCCTACAGAGGCCCCAGGAAAGGTGCACTGACTTCACCAAAAGCGGCACTCCTGGTGTGAGAAAAACCACCAACGAGAAACCACCCTCTGGATGAAAGGTTTTCCGGGAAAGGGGGGGTGGTGGTGTCTTTTATTTTCTTGACATGAATACCCCTTCACATTTGTAAGGCTCAGCTAAACTTCAAAGAAAAGGGTTTACACGAGATCTGCCGCCTCAAAATGCAGCTCGGCTTCCAGTGGAGTCACTAAAGCACGGAGCGCAGTGCAATGCCTGCCCTACCGCGGGGAGATCTCAGCGCCTGGCAGGAGGGCGGAAGGGGACCTAGGAGGGGACCCGCCTCGGTTCCGCACCTCAAGGGCCACACTCGCACTCCGAACCAACCTCGGGCGCTGCCAGACGCGTCCTCGCCTGCTGTCACGCGTTCCCTCCGGTTTCCCGACGCCGAGGGGCCCACAGCGGCCCCCGCCGCGCCCAGCCCACTCGCTCATTCGCCCGCCCCGGCACCTAGCCCTTCGGCCAGCCTCACCGAGCAGCAGCAGCTTGACCTCGCGCGCCGCCTTCTCGCCATCCTCGCGGAGGTTCCGGTCGATCATCTTACTCCGCTCCACCGCCGCCTTGTCCTCGGCGCTCAGCGTACAGCCCATGGTGCCTAGAGCGAGAGCCTGCCGCCGCTCCCTCCKCGCCCGGTTGCTGCCTCGGAACACAGGTGAAAGCTCTCTTTCGAATACCTCCCAACGCCGGCCACACCACCCCCACTACGTCCTAAACCGAGTCCAGAGAAACGCTTTCCGCAAACGAGCAAACAGCCCTGGGCGCCTAGTTCCCCGGCCCGGCTCCGCTTTTGGCGCCGCTCAGCGCCGGGAGACCCAGGTTTGAAGGCTCTGGCTTCAGAGGCTACCGCCCTCCAGCCGGTGGCCGAGCCGCAGCCTCGCAAAGCTCAGGCGAGCTCCGCGTCCGCGCGCCGCCGCGGCCCCGCCCCTGCCCGCCTCTCCCGCCACCCCGCGACCACTCCCAGAGCGCGCTCCCGCGCACGTGCCCTCGGACAGCGCCCCCTCCGAAGGGCCGCGCGCCCGCGTGGCCGCCGACCACGGGGCCGCGCACCCCGCGAGGGCCCCGCGCCCCCGCGCGCCCCCTGGAAGTGCCAGAGAGCGAGGAATTGCCCGAGGGGCTATGGCCTCAGGCCCTATGCGCTCCYTAACCCTGCGCCCGCGGCGGGAATGGGGTGATTTCTCCGGGTTTACGGATACCAAGGAATGTGTGCGTACCTGTCCCTCTACCGATGGGGATGGGAGAGATGCCAAAGTTGGAAGCCCAGAAAAGCCTGTCTGTCCAGGGCGTTTGAGCAAGCCCAGCGCCCGCAAACAAACAAGGGTTTTAAAATGTAAAACGGTGTCAGCCGGCGTTCAGGGCGGTGGGAAAGACAGGGAGCTGCAAATGTAGCCGCGGTGGGACCAGAGGTGGGGACAGTGGGAAACAGAAGTCAGGAGATGTGGTGGTAGTGGGCACCAAGGTCAACTTCCTTCCATTTTTCTTTCTTTCCCTTTTTCCTTCCTTTGTCGCCTTCCTTTTCATAAACAGATTATAATTTTAAGGATTTCTTCATAACCTTAGAAAATGTGAGACCAAAAATCAAAGAGTATATTTAAAAATGACAAGAGCAATAAAACACACCCACACAAACAAGTCTGCTCCACAGCGGTAGCAGATCTCCTCTAGCGCATATGTAAGCTCCCATGCCAAGTTTTGAACCAGTATTTATGACCATGTTCCTAACTCCTGTGCCAATGGGCATGCCATTCTTTTTTGGAAGCAATGGCTTCCTTGCACATAAAATGAGGAGTTGTGCGATATTGTTTCCTCCTTCCAACTCCGGCAGGCAGGGATGATGCATTCATCCACCCAACACCAAATGGATGAGGATAGATTTAAGGTCTCATTTCTCAATGCCTGTTGTTCTAAGGTTTTCCTTACAAACACCGCAGGAAAAAAACGTTGACTGATGGAAAGATGAAACTAAYGTCAAAGAAAGATGTCTTCCTTGATGTGTTAAATTTTTTTTTTATTGCTTTTAGGTTTCCATTCAGAAGTCTTATTTTCTAAAAATCATTTGAGAAAACCGGGCTTGAGTTTTTTCTAAGAAATTGATATTGAATTGATGGCACGGGTAGAGGGCAGAATACCTTTAGGTTGGGTCATTCAGACCAGGCCTGTAAGCTAGTTCTGCTCTACACCCCACTGGCCATGCTTGTGCTCCAAACCATCAGAGCCAGTTGAATTGTCAATTCCTTCTATATGGGACCTGCCCTTTCCTGTTTTCCCCGAAGTCAGACCTGCGATATGATTTCAAAACCTGCCTAAATTTTCCTATGGCCTTTTGTAATATAACAACAAAAAGGAGCAATCTTCAATGGTACCTAATCACCTTCTACCCTCATTATAATTCCTGGCACATTACATGTCCATCAGGAACTCTGAAATTAAATTTAATGAAATCAACTTTCAACACGGTATTTTCGTATTAGTCATTTGGGCTGATCTGTTACTGTCTTTCCTATAAGCTTCAGGCCAGATGGAGTGTAGGATCAACAGTTTTAGCCAAAGAGGAATCAATTATGACTGAGTACTGGTAGAAACCACTACAGAACTTGTGTTTTGGAGAAATTAAGTTGTAATGAAATTATACACATTATCTCTATCAATTTGAAAAGCTTGTCAAGTAGTTGAGTAGCTTATATGTAGTACATAGACAATTAAGAACTGCAAATTAATCTTATGTGAAACAAAACTTCTAAGAGGATACAAAGTAATAAAATAATCAGTATGGAAGGAAACTCCAGGAGAAAAAAGTTTGAAAAAAATATTGAAGGAAGTGATAACAGGATATTAGAGGCGAGTTTGAAGGAGAATATATTAGTCAATACCATCTGCCAAAACAAAATACCATAGACTGGATGGGAATAACGTCTCGTGTTTCTGGAGGCCAGTAAGCCAAAGATTAAGGTGTCAACTGATTGAGATCTCTTATGAAACCCCTCTTCCTGGCTTGCAGATGACTGCCTTCTTTCTGTGTCCTCACATGGTGGAAAGGAAGAAGTTGGGGAGGTGTGAGAGAGAGGGAAAGAAGGGAAAGGAAGAGAAAAGCCACRTTTGCTCTCTATTCCTTTACTTATAGGGTCATTAATCTTGTCATAGATACTCCACTATCAGGACCACTAAACTAAATCACCTATCCAAGGTTCTCCCTCCAACTACTATCACATTGGGGTTTAGGACTTCAACATATGAATCTGGGGAGACATACACATTCAGTCCAGAATAGTGAATTTTTGTTTCAGAGGAATGACGAAGTACACAAAAAATAGTGATTATTTAACAATTTAAAGGTAGTTTGGMTATGATGAATGATAAGATATATGGGGCAATATTGAAAGAGAGCTTTACATCTTAAGGTGAAAAGTTGGACTTGACACAGTGAATACTAAGTGTCCCATACATTCTCCTGAGTTGGGTAATAGATGTTTAAGAAAAAATAAAAACCCTCTTACCATATGTGTAAAACAAATGAGTTACCAACAAGTGCATGGTATTAGTAATCCAAACATGGGGTGGTAAGAGAGTCATTCAGACTAATAACTTACATAGTTATGAGGTTGTGAAATATGATTCAACAACCTTTTCAAGGAGGTGGAGCAGACATTAATAACTCATCTATTTTATAGAGAGTGAAAGAGAGAAATTTAAATTGCAGAGGTTAAAGCATTCTACTTCAGAATAGTGTTTTCCCTTCTGAACATCATAACCTCTTTATTGAGACATAAATCACATACCATAGAACTTACCCATTTAAAACATACAGTTCAATGGCTTTAGTATATTCACAGTTGTGGAGCCACTACCAAATTGTAGAACATTTTCATCACCCCCAAAGGAATCCCTGCATCCATCCCCATCATTCCCCATCCTTCCATTCTGCTAGTCCTAGACACTACCAATTTAAATTCTGCCTCTGTATTTGCATATTCTAGACATTTTATATAAAAGGGATAATATGGATGTAGTCTTTTGTAATTGACTTTTTTCACTCAACATAAAATGTTTAAGGTTTATTCATGTTGAGCAGGTCTCATTACTTCATTTCTTTTTATTGCTGAATAATACTGAGCATCATATGTTAAGAGAGTTAGACATATGTTAAGAGACAAATTGGAACACGTTCAGCTGAAAGCATCAGGCTTTAAGTAACTCAAACTGTGTCATAAGGAATAATTGGAGAAACTGGGGATATTTATTGAAGGAACAAGAAGATACAAGTGACTTGACAGTTATTTCCAAATGACTGAAGAGATGTCACAAGTCAGAGGAAAGACACACTTTCTGTCCTGCTTCAAGGTCATACATAGACTTAGAAGTACTAAAGGAAAGTTATGACAAGCAAAATTTTATCTTGATGTGGGGAAAAATGTTACACAATTTCTAGGCAGTGATACCAACCACATGTGCACATGTGAAATAGGCAATCTCAAAAACATTTGACTAAGATGTAAAACTCTCATATTGGGCACAATCTAGAGCTGGGTGAACTCTTAGGATGACTCCCAACTATGAGATTCTGTATTATTCAGACATCAAAAGAGACTGGTGTCAGAGGCTGAGATTGTACTACTTGTAAACTCCTCTGGCCTCAAGTGTTTTCCCTACTCATACTATCCTCAGATAAACAGGTAAAAGTGGGAAAGGATAGTTTGAGATATCTTGGTTTGATCTTTTGATGGATTAGCATGAGAATAAAGAGGAACATTGGAAAGAGGATATGACCTGGTAGGTGGAGGGGAGGCAAGATCAGAAGGGCATTGCATATCTTTGGCTAGTTAAGCTGCTAACCGATGTGGCATGTTCACACCTCTTCATTACTGCATTGGCGTTTTTTGCTTTCTAAAGGAGAAAAATGTTTTGGCACAAGCTAGGCATATTTAGAAAGATAGAGGGAACATCATGGCATCTATAACCTTCTGTAGAATGATATAAGGCCCCAAACTCAAAGCATTTTCATTAGAGATATTGTGAGATTCTAGGTAAAGCTTGAAAAGCCAAAACCCATGAAGGGACTTTGCAAAACAAACAGCATTCTTTGAGTACTCAGGTTATATATCACATTGGCAGAGAAATCATGTGTAGCCATTGACCCTGCATGTAACATATAACCACTCAGGCATCCAAGCATTGATGAACTGAAGGAAAACATCTAAAGACAACACTCTGAGTATGGACATTTGCATTCTGCTGATGGATCCTACACCATCAGCAATACTCAAGTCTCCCTCAAGTAGCTTCATAGWCAGTGACTACCACAAAAAAGAACTGTAAAACAGGGGGAAATGGAAAATACTAGGCAGTGACACCAACCAGCAGACTAGTTCATGAGCACTTGTAAACATGATACCACATTGGAGGACTCAGAAATATCTAGGGAATAGGCTGGAGAGATTTAATTTTCTACTGAAGCAGATAAGTCTTGAAGTCACTGTTGATGGGGCCAGGAGGCAGAGAGGGCAACACGGCCTCATAAGTAAAGGTGGGAGAAGTTTAGAAAAAAAAAGAAAGAAATATGTGGTTTTCAATGCATCAAGAGAAGATCACTATGAACAAACATAAAGAAAAGGAAGTGGTGGTTGTGGTATAGGGAAGAAACTCTAGACCAGAAATCAGGCACCCTTATAGCAATTCAGAATTCTGTCTTTAACTCCGTATCTGTCCTTTGAAGTCCTTTAACCTCTAATTGCTATATTCCTATCTATAAACATGAATGTATTGAATTAGATCATCAAAACAAAGTTCCAATAATTCTGAATTTGTATGAGGTTGTCATTCAACCAGACAAGATGGTTGGCAAATATACTGAAACATTTGTATGAATAGAAGCCTTCCCATATAGGATTCAGT